CACCTCGCTCAGAAGGCTCCATCCATCCTGCCGAAGCAGAACTCCCTGGGCTCCAGAGCAGGGATTTGACCCTCAGCTCTGCAGGCGAGCAACTGATCCTTCGGTAGCCCCTTGTGGAAACTTGCTCGTAAGTCAAAATTTAGAAAATGCCCACAATCAGGTGTGCGCTCAGTGATCCCACCCAGGTGGCTGTGCCGTCCAGTGTACAGTGTGCCACCCTGGCCACCATTAATGTGATGACAAGGTGCGTTCACCTGGGGCCTCCAGTCAGGAAGGGCTGATCAGTCATTTCCCTTAGCTGGGTTCCAGGATTTCATCGCAGGGTCAGGTTATCATAGCCACTCATTCTGATTGTGTAATTTGAGACCATTTTCTTATTTTCTTTTTTGGGCTCCTCGCAGAACCCTTTCTCTATACTCAATTTCATGATTGTTTTGCCAGTCAAAAATTATGGCTAACATTATGAAGAATGAGAGTTCCAGAGCGCTGAGTTGTGCTCTTGCTAAGACCCGAAAATAGACCTAGAGGCAGTGGTTCAAACAGAACAATGATATATTGTGTAGTTGAAAATCAGGAAGGGTATGTATCAGGGTTATATATAAATTTCTTCAGTCTGTAGGTTGAGCAACTAATCCAAGAAGATGGGCTGTATGAAGACAAGTAAGGCACTAGGATTGGAGGAAGACTCAATAACAACCCGAGATGTGCAGAGGACACAACATTACTTGCTAAAAGGAAAGAAAACTTGAAGCACTTACTGGAAAAGATCAAAGAAAAGAAGACCTAAAGAAACCCCTTCAATGTGGATTATGGGGCAACACCAAAAAAACTAAAGTCCTCACAACCAAACCAATACGATGTGTGATCCATCATAAATCCTTACAACTAAACCAGCACAATACATGAACCTTCATGATTCCTTACAACCAAACCAACATGGCACACGATCCATCATGAGAGATGGAGAAAAGATTCAAGTGTCAATGATTGCATTTGACTTAGAGCCACAGACAACACCTACGGCAGCAGCAGATCAGAAACCAAGATGTATTGCATTGAGGAAATCTGCTGTTCTCGTTCAAGTGTTAACGAGCAAGGATGTTATTGTAAAGGCTAAGGTGCACTTGACCCAAGCCATGGTCTATGAAAGCTGGTCAGTGATTAAAGGAAGACTGAAGAATTGATGCCTCTGAGTTGTGGAGATGATGAAACATCTTGGATATCCTGTGAATTGCCAGAAGAAAAAACAGATAAAGTCTTGAAAAATGTACAGCAGGAGTGCTAAGTTACTTAGCAGCAAAGATGGGGGTGAGCTCTGGTGCACTAGCGGCAAGAAGCTGCACTGTAATCCCAGAGGTGTGTGGTTCAAATCCACCAGATGCTCTGCTGGAAAAGGAGGGATAGTCAGATCCAATTTGATGGTACACACACACACACACACACAC